AGCACTGGACAGAGGCCAAGAGAGGGTTTGGAAGTGATCAAGGTAAAAGCAATTGGGGATTGAGCCAGAAGGAAGGTAGAGAGGGAAAAACAGGTCAGGCTGCAGAATGCTGGAAAGGCAAGGGACAGGAAAAAAGGGATGTGTAAAGAGTACAGAGAACAATGGTGGGGGAAGGAAGGATTGGAGGGGGCTAAGAGCCTGTGGGATAGGAGAGCAGAGACTCAAGAATGGAGGATAAAGAAATATCCTGTTCATAGAAGATTTTCATTGCATATCTACTCAAACACAAGCACAAAATGATACAACCTGCCTCTCTGGTATCTATTCAATTCAAAGTCCGTAAGGAGTTGATATCTGGACTTTGATTACATTTCAGTTCCTCAGACATGCTGGCAGCCTCACCAGCTCCCAGAACTCCAGCCATGTTTCATTTCAAGGATTTTCTCAATGTTTATAAGGAATATATAAGCACCTGCGAACTGGGACCTGTGGCTATTTATGTGAAGCAAAAAAAGTAATACAGGTGTTAGCTAAAAATGGGCACATCTCCAATCTGACATTTAAAAGCAACTCAGGCTGAGCTACTACCAAGCAGATTTGGAACAGCCGCTTCACTCACTGCATAAAAAAGTGAAGCAAGACGAAAAACTGGAGATTAAAATAGCTTCTCAGTCCAAGCAAAGAAAACTCTCCAGGGTTACACAAAATGGCTGACGGAAACTAGATGAGAAAAAAAATGCTGTGTGTCTATGGTTCTAGAATCTGGAAAACCTACAGTGGAGATTGGATCCCAGTAATATTGTTTCCCAGCTCCGACTATTTGAAGTACAATCACAAATTAAAAATGAGATGGTGGAGTGTGCTGTTACCTGAAAGACAAAGGATTTGTGGGGCAGCAGCAGGAGACCTTGGTGATATCCTCTAAGAGTAACCTTGTCAACAGACTCCAGAGCCATACATCTGGCCATGGAAAGAACCCAGTGCCTGGATACAGGTCCTCACTATTCACAGGCAGAACCAAGAACACTGTAGCTTATATTTCATAGTCACAAAAATGGACTATGAAAATAAAATTAAATTAAATCATAGGAAAGTTTGTAGCTATTGAAGGCAAATTCTTCTTGCTACTGTACCTGACACATTCTTTTAAACAAAGAATGTAAAAAGCCCTGCCTGCATGCGTGAGGGTTTTGTTTCAGTAATCTGGACTACTTCTCTGAACTAGAAAGACAGAAAGAAAGAATTGGATGAAAAGAGAGGAAATTAACCATAAACAAACCTATGTTGAAAGAACATTACTAAGTTGCAACATCAAGCACTCAAAAGGGCACGGAATGGATGGTGCTCATTTAACAATCAGCTGTTCGATATTTTGTTTTCTCCTCATTGTTCAACGTGTGGCCTCCATGCCTTATTTAGAGCACATGATTCAGATTCTGCTCTAAGAATCATTCATTTCTTTATGGGCTTTTCTAGGGTCTTCAACACTATAATATCTGAGTGCTTCACAAATAATTATCTTCACAACACCTTTGTGAAGTGAGGATGATGGGAGCTGAGGCACAAGAAGATTACTGTAAAAAAGTATCCACTAACGTTGGGTCCCCCATTTGAGATGACAAGGACCTGATTTTTCAGAGTACTTGGCATTATATAGCACTACATATGTTCAAAGCTCTCATTGACTTCATTAGACATGGAGTGTGCTCAGCCCTTCTGCAAATCAGACTCCAGTGTATGAAGTTGGGCACCCAGAAAATGAGAAACACATAACCAGTAGATCTTCTGTGAAAAACTTGGTTTAAGTGACTTGCCTATCATCACACAGGAAGTCTGTGGTAGAAGCAGGGATAGCATCTAGTTCTCCTGGGCAGCATTCAACTGCCTTTGTTAGAGGGTTTTCCGTTCACCCCTTCCCTGGTTCTTGTCACACAGATGGAAAGCAGAAGACCAGAAGTCCTAAGCGCAGGCAATGCCATGTTTGCCTTGAACTAAAAACCCCAATAAACATATTCCGAAGTCCTTCACACTAGTTGGGCTTATCTTTATACGCCGATAGAGTTTTCCCCTTCCCCTCCCCCTCCGCCAACTACAGTTCTATACACTAATAGAACCCCTTCTTCTAACCCCTAGCTCTGCAAACCGATAGACTGTGAACAATCAATTGAGATAACCCACTACCTTCGGACCTGCACACCGATGGAGCTCCCTCTTCCCAGTGTTCTGTTTCCAGCTCTGATGCCACAGAGCATTTACCCTGTGTCCCCCTTTCCCAGCTCTGACACTGCAGAGCCTTGCCTGTGTCCCTGTTCCTTATTCCCCTATTCTCAGTCCCCCATTCTCCCATTACCATTCTCCTTCCCACTCCCATTCCCCCCCCCCTTCTTAGCAGGCCCAAACATACCTGCAATGCACGCCCCTAGTCACACCTGTTATAACTTATGGTCATGTTCCGTTCTGGAGGGTCAGGAGTTGGGGTCTTCATCCCACTCCTTTTGTACCCCATGGGAGGGGTAAGGAGTGAGGCTGTGCTCCGGTCAGGGGTAGGTATTTCTCTGGTCTTAGTGTTTTACCTCTCCTCCCCATCCAAACTCTCCTTGCCCCTCCCAACTGGCTGCCTTACCTTGCTTTGAGATAAGGAGTTGAGGTAGTCAAGTGTGTGCACATATTTAAAATTTATTACAACTAATGTTAAAAAAATTATTTGATAGGTTGAGAAAAGAGTGTCTGTACATCTGGGCATAGTGCTTAGATTATCCACAAATACAAAGTTCGTTTTTAAAAGTCATATGATACATAGAGCACATAATCAGCAATAATCCACATTTAGGTGAATAGATTTAACAATACAGTTTAGATATTAGAATCTGAATACTCGGGTACATCACTCATGCAAAGTTGTACAGAGATTTGGTTGTGGAAAGCAAAATATATCAATGAGTGGAGATTGTCCCTCAGTAATTGAGAATTAGGTAGGTTGCCCATTTAGAGGAAAAAAACCAGTCCATCAGGAAAGTATTTGAGTTACTTTCCAGACTGTGCTTCTCATCGGCACTCCAGCTCATTCCTCCTGGTATTGCTGATGTCCAGTGATGTGTTTTATGTAGATGTCCCTTGACCACCTGATGGTGTCCAACACCATGAGCTGCCGCATCACCCGAATGTAGCGTTGACCAACTCCACATTGTCTCAGCACTCGCTCATTACAGGGGTCCCATGTGCCCAGGGCTCCGACGATCAGCGCATGAGTTTGGACCTCGTAGTCCCTAGCTCTCAGGGTGTTGGCCAGAGGGGTGTATTTCTCCTGCTTTTGAGCTCAGGCGTCATGGAAGGCTGGCATCCTGTTTTGAAAGGCACTGTGATGTCCACCATGATGATCTTCTTCCGGTCCTTGCTAGTGATGTCTGGTCGCAGTTGACTGTCGGTTCCAGGGATGGCGGAGTTTACGGCAACCTTCCCCACAGGTGGTGGGATGGCTCTGACCAGGTGATTCTGGATGGTGTCGTGTCAAGCTCTTGAATGGGGTTTGCAGCTACACAGGACGTGGGGTAGCGTCTTGTTGGTGTAGCCGCACTTCCTGCATCGCTTGTCCCGATTCCCATGGTGGACGGCTCCGTTCAGCAGGACGCAGTTGAGCTGGGCCCAGTGGATGAACCTCCAGTCAGCAAATCAGGTGAAGCTGCCCCCGGGGAGGAAGTGGTTGCTGGCGTCCCACTTGAACGTCACCTCAAAGGCCTTGCCCAGCTTCCATTTCAGGTTTTCCACAGATTGGCAGCGGATGGCATTCTTCAGGGTCCTCTCCAGCATGGTTCTAGCTCTTGGAGTGATGATGGTGCGCTCCGTGTTCTTCACCTGTGGCACCAGGACTCCCAGCTCCTGGCGTTCCTCGCACCACATCCAGTGGCAGCCGATACACTTCTCCAGTCATCGCGTAGTGTTGCGGGCTTGAGTTCAGAGTGAAGCAAAGTCTCCCCACTCTCTTCCAAATTCCCCTTCCAGCGAGCCGCTAAGGTAGGAGGCGACATCTTGGTTGGAGGGGGTCCTGGCGATTCGCTTCTTCATGGCATTCTGCAGAGCACTTTCTACGATGTTCCTCACCATGGCATCCAGGCACGTCCGAAGGCGTGAGTGATCACTGCAATGTCACAGAGATCACCCATACGAGGGATGTTGGCACTGCCCTGCCTGTGGGAGATGTATACCAATTCATTGCTGGCCCTCTGGGGAAGAAACATCCACTTCTTCACCAGCTGCCCAATGGTGTAGTCTGCCTTGTTCAGAGGTACCTTCGTCACGGCACATCCCCTCAGAACAAATGAGATACGGAGGACCAGGAAGGTGTTCAAGGCATTGATCTTCTGCCAGGGTGTCAGTAGGGAGGAGTAGATCCTGGCCACATCTCGTATCTCCGCGATGGTATCCTCAGGTGACTGCTGGACATGGAAACCTGTCCGCGTGCTGAGATGTTGGTATGCTTGCCTGTCCTCAAGAAAGATCATGGCTTCACCCTGGATCTGAAATGGTGTTGCCAGGACCGAATCCCTTCCACTGCCATTGATATGCAGGGATGCACACTTCCTGGCATTGAAGCGGAGTCCCATCCAGTTGGCAGCCTGGCTGGTGATGTCAAACATTAGTTGGAGACTCTTGTAAGCGATCAGGACCAGATTGTCTGCATAGGCCAGGATACTCACTGTTACACTCCCACCATACCCTGTAACACTTTTAGCTCCATCCCTTATCTGTCCCATTGTACTAAAAGCCCCATCTGGTTGTGGGAAATGCAACACACAGCATCTTTGTCCTTCATACATATTAGTAAGGATGTAAGAGTATTAAAAGTCAAACCCAAAATACTATCTCAGGCTAACAAACAGGCTTATATGCTAACAGCCTTAATCTTGAAACCATCCTATCTCTTTTTGCCATCCCCTGCCTCTTTCATGACACACCTTCCAACTTTTGCAACAAATGAAGAGGGGTTCAACAGACAACTTTACCTCACAACCTTGATTCATCCCCAGTGTAAGTCCATCCTGTGCACTGAATGAAGCAATGGACCTGTGGAAAAAATAGTATGTGATCATGCAATTAAAAACTATCATAATGCATATGCACAAGAGGCTAAATTAAAGTTGCACAGCAATTTTAATTCTGGCACTTTCTAACATTTGAGTGCTTGATGTTCAAATCTTAATAATGCTCTTTTAACGTAGTTTTTTGGTGTGTGTGTATATAGCATTTTACAAGCATTAATCGATTATTTCTCAGAGGTCTACTGAGAGCTAGGTAAGTATTATTACCCGCATTTTACAGTGAGAAGCTGAAGCAGAAAGATCAAGAGACTTGGCTACAACTACATAGGGAGTTGGTATAAGAGCAGGGATTAGAACTCAGCAGTTCCTGGCTCCCAGTGCCATACCTCAGAGCACTGGACCATGCTTTCCTATTAATTTGTAGCCAACGTAATAGACTTCAATAGGAATAGAATCATGCGGTAGGATTGCTATTGCTGCTTCATTGGAATGTGATGCTTCTCACATAGCCCTTACCAAACAACTGATTTATGAACATCGAGCTGATTTTCATTCATTCATTCTGCCACACACCTTACCAGGTTATACGGCTCTATGTGGTACAAAGGACTGGCTTTTTCACAATAATTTCTTCTACTTCTCAGAGTTTTGGAATAGATGCATACCTCTTTGTATTATTTTCTTTCCAGGCTCTCTCTGAAGTGTTGCAAATCCATATCATACAAATTGGAATATGAATTTACTAATGTCTCAACAACTCTTTACTCCATAATTTCATCCAAATCTATCATATCAGCTGGCGAGAAGATGGGAACTTCTGTTCAGGATACAGTGGGAGACTGAAGGGATGCAAAAGGCCTAACATTTGCTAGCAATTTACCTGAAGCTAAACAAAAACCAGCATGGCTTCCTTTGTTTTCAGATACATATACAACACATTTTCTTTTTAAACAGGTACATAGCCCGAGGCCAACCAAATATATTACCATTCTCTTCCAGAGAATTACATGTACCTAAATACAGTTATCCACTTTAAAATGTTACTTATAACATGTAAATACCAATTTTTTTCTGTTCAAAACTTAAGTGGGCTTTGTGATGGACTTGGCACTGGGATTAATTTTATCATCTCTTTAAACATAAATGTATTGATAATTAATTGCACATTATTTATCTTCAGTATGATAAGGTATCTTCCCAGCTGTAAAGTTTACACAACTACCAGTTTACATGTTTTACAACCTTAAGCAAAAAATGTCAGACAAAGGTGAAATGCAAAATTGGTTTGATATTAATGTGTAGGAAAGTAGATAAGCTTTATGCAAGTTGGTTTTTATTGGTACTTCCAGGGAAACAAAAGTAAAACAACATATTAAACACTAAACACCTCAGATCTATACAGCCATGAAAGAATATATCCTCTGATGGTCATGGGGTGAGGGAGGCTGCAAAATAGACCATTAGAAGTGCTAATAATGCCTCAATAGCTCTAGAGGTCACACTTTGGTAAAATATTAACATAAATTACAGTCCACTCTGGTTTATATCAGGAATTACTCAGATATTCTGTGCATCATTGACTGGAAAGGGACCAGAACCACCTGAGCACTAAACTTTCTCCACCTAAGCACGAGAAACAGTCTGCAGACCACAACTATGGCAGCTTGTCAAAGGGGGTGGAGTCTGATCTGAAACCCATTAAAAATGAATGGAATGAGTCCCATTAATTTATCTGGGCTTTAGATCAGACCCAGGGAGAGAGGTGGTCTCTCATGTAGGCAGGTCACTGAGCAATAGGGAGTCTTTGATTTCTGGTCTAAACTGGTATCTTCAATGACATCAATAAAGTAATTCTTGGCAGGGAAACTTCAGACTGTCCAGAATGAGGAAATGTCACCAGGGAAATAACCTACTCTCTCCCTTCAGTACAAAAACACTCCCCCTTTTGAGATACTTCCTTGTTTACCTTGCAGTGGTGGGTATCAAGTGCCAGCCAGCAGCTCATTAACAGAGCTTGCATATAAGGATTCTGTAACTGTTCTGTGCTTTTGCACTTGATCATCTGAAACCTTTAATCTTTAGTGTAAGCAATTTACACTATGTGGTAAAGCAATCTAAGAAGCCCTTCAGCAAATTGGGAATGTAGAACAAATGGACAAAGAAAAAAAAAAAAAAGATGAATCTCTGTCCTTAATACCCGATTGGATGAAACCCCTCTTTTTTAGTATCATTTATCTTTTCCTAGAAAAGGTATACCTATAGCCTACTGCATATGCTTTTTAAACAGATATGGATGTGCTGCCCCGTATCTGCTTAGTGTGATATTTAAATAACTGTGACACCCTATTGTGAGAATGGTTTCAAGAATGTGTCAGAAATTTTTCTTCTTTGCAAAAGAGTATCCCTAAATCATCCAGCAAAGCACAGAGTGAGATACACTCTAACTGCTGACTGTACAAGAATTCTGGGGAAAATGCACTCACAGGAGACAGTCTTGGTGACTAAGGAGTCCCAGTTTATTAGATGGATATGAAACCAAACCAAGAACTGATTAAAAGAAAAAAAATCCTGCGGCATTTATCAGAATATGTTTGAGACAAACAGGTAGAACCTGCTTCCTCTTAATCCAGCCACAGCAGGATTGATCTATACATATTAGAATCAGTTTTTCATAGTAATTGACCACTCATCTTACTCCATTCAGGCATTGCTTCAGCTGTAGAAAAGTCACATGGAAAAAAAACACTGACCTTTGGGTTAAAATCCTTTTCACAGGATTTATTGTCAATACAGTGTCTTTTAATAGTCCGAAGATCTTTCTTAGGTTCATAGACTCAAAGGCCAGAAGGTTCCATTCTGATCACAAAACTGGGTGACTGGGTGGCAAAATGGTTGATAAAAATCAGATAAGTGCAAAGTAATGCATACTGGAAAACATAATCCCAACTATATATACAGAATGATGGGGTCTAAATTAGCTGTTAGCACTCAAGAAAGAGACCTTGGAGTCATTGTGGCTAGTTTTCTCAAAACATCTGCTCAGTATGCAGTGGCAGTCAAAAAAGCTAACAATGTTAGGAATCATTAGGAAAGGGATATATAATAAGACAGTAAGAATCATAATACCACAGTATAAATCCATGGTATGCCCACATCTTGAATATCGTGTGCAGTTCTGGTCACTCCATCTCAAAAAAGATATATTAGAATTGGAAAAAGTCCAGAGCTGGGGAGGCCAGCTAACTGTGTCACAGGTAGGGTTGGACCCATCTCCCCTTAAAGGGTCAATCACCTGGTGACAATTAGGAAAAAATGGCTGTTCTTTGAGATGTGTTGCTCATGTCCATTCTATGTTAGGTGTGTGCATGCCCACGTGCAGAGCTGCCGGAGATTTTTCCCTTAGTAGTATCCAAAGGGCCGTCTCCAGTGCCCCCTGGAGCTCTGTGCTCATGCATCGATATATGGGGCACCGTTGGTCCCATGCCATCTCAGTTTCTTCTTGCCGTCAACTCCGACAGAGGGATAGAAGGGTGGGTAATGGAATGGACATGATCAACACATCTCAAAGAACAGCAGCTATGAAAGGTAGGTAACCAATTTTTCTTCTTCGACTGCGTGTTCATGTCAATTCCATGTTAGGTGACTCACAAGCAGTATCCCTGGAGGTGGGCTTGGAGCTCAAGGACATACTATTTGCAATACTGCTCTACCGAAGCTGGTGTCATCCTGCGCCTGCTGAATGATGGTGTAATGGGGTGCAAAGGTATAGACCGAAGACCAAATGGCAGCTCTGCAGATGTCCTGGATCGGTACCTGCGCAAGGAAGGCCACTGACGAAGCTTGTGCTCTAGTGGAATGGGCAGTCATGGTGGTGACACCCCTGCTTGTTCATAGCAGAACTTGATGCAGGCAGTTATCCACGAGGAGATTCTCTGAGAAGACACCAGCAGACTTTTCATCTTATCTGCCACTATGATGAAGAGCTACGTTGACCTACAGAAGGATTTGGCCCTCTCGATGTAGAAGGACAAGGCCCGCATAACATCCAGAGAATGTAACTGACACTCCTCATTAGTCTTGTGAGGCGTTGGAAAAAAAGACCGGTAGGAAGATGTCCTGATTATTGTGAAACTGACACCACCTTAGGTAAGAAAGCTGAACCTGGTCCTTGTAAAACACTATAACGGGGTTTAGACATCAAAACTCTGATCTCGGAGACCCGTCGGGCTGAAGTGATTGCCTCCAGGAAGGAGCCCTTCCATGAGAGGAGCAGCAGAGAACAAGACAACAGCAACTCAAAGGGGGGGACCCGCGAGCCTTGACAGCACCAGGTTTAGGTCCCAAGGAGGGATAGGGTCATGAATTTGCAAGTATAGCCTTTCCAGACCTTTCAGGAGCCTGATCGTCATGTCATGAGAGAAGACTGATCTACCTTGGACCGGAGGGTGGAAGACCGAGATGGCTGCCAAGTGAACTTGATTGACAAAAGGGCCAGGCCTTGGTGCTTGAGATGAAGCAGGTAGTCTATGATGGATTATAGCGAGAACCAGGAGGGAGAAAGACTGTGGCCCGAAGCCCAATAGGTGAAGCATTTTCATTTAGATAGGTAGGTCGCCCTGATGGAGGGCTTCCTGCTACCCAACTGGATGTGCTGGACTTACACCGAGCAGATCTTCCTCCCATTCCTCTGCGTTCAGCCACACAGAAGCCACAGAGTCAGGTGCAGAGACAGTAGGTTTGAGTGAAGCAGACAGCCTTGGTGCCGTGAGAGCAAGTCTGGTCGGAGCGGGAGCACTAACAGGGTCGTTATTGAAAGTTCCAGCAGCATGTGGAACCAGAGTTGGTGCAGCCATGCCACAGCTGTCAGGATTATCTTTGCCTTGTTCTGCTTGACCTTCAGGAGGACCTTGCAAACCAGGGGTATTGGCGGGAAGGTGTATAGTAGTCGGACAGGGAACATCTGGCAAGCCCACAGATCGAGCAAAATTACTTACATTTTCTGGTCTGTCTGGATGCAAATAGGTT